GGGGAGGAGGGGGGAGGAGGAGGAGGGAGAGGAGGGAGAGGAGGAGGAGTGCTTCCCACAGCCACCAGATGTCGCTGTGGGCTCACAGAAAGCGACTCTCCTGTGTGGTTGGCCTCGGTCCTTCCATGGTGGCTGGGCAGCTCTCTGCTCTGCTGGGCTGGGCAGCCGCACAGCCGCCACGGCCGAGGCTGGAGACCCCAGGCCGGAGTTTAACATCAGTCTCATCGCCTTGGCCCTATTTCAGCTGGTGACCTGGGCAGCTGGCCCTGTCCCCTACCCTTCAGTGCCCACCGCTAGGATTTGAGGGGAGGGTGAAAAGCGGGCCAGGTCCCAGCACCTTGTCAAGCTCTGGTTACAGAGTCTGATCAAGTCCTGATCATTTCAGGAAGACAGAAAGACAGAAAGGAGGGGAACCTGGGTCCCTCAGACTGAAGGAAGCTCCCGCAGGCCTCTGGGATAGATATTTCCGACTGGACACTGCAGGGAGACAGCAGCCTGCCCAGGTGGCAGACAGTGGGCATAGGCCCCTGGGACTCAGTTCCCCCATCTATAAAAGGAGCCACTTGGTCTGGAAAATAGCTGGGACACTTGTAGCTGGGACTTATTCTAGTTCAGAGTTGCTGGACACTTGGGGTGAGAGAGGCCCCTTTTCCGTGGACTTGTCTGCCCTACGCCTCGGGGAACATCGTGCTGCCAACGTTAATTTCTGATTGATTTGCTGCTGGGAATGCAACGCAGCAGTGCGACTGGCTGCTGGGTAGCCCTGTGCGCCCCCTACTGGTGTTCTGGGCTCAGGCTGTGCTCTGTGCTGTGAAGTTGGACAGATCCCTGGTTCCTGGTACTTCGTGGACAGATGGCTCAGCTCCAGCGAGGGAGTCAGAGGGGATGTGTGTGTGTGTGTGTGTGTCCACACGTGTACGTGTGTGTAGCATGTAACACGTGTGTGAGTGGTGCAGGCTGCGTGTGCATGCCGTGTGTATGCGTGTGGTACCATCGCGTGTGTCTAGTGTACAAGGAAGGTGTGGTGGAAAAATACCATGTGTTTAAATAAAAAAAATCATTTCAGCAGGAGACACCTTGCCAAGGATGGCCCTGAACATACCCCTCCTCCCCCAGACTCACTTAGCACTTTCTGAAGCAGTGCTGGGCCGCTTTGATGTCCTGAATGGACTCCCAGGGCTTCCCTTTCGTGGTCATTCTGACTTTGGGGCGGGGCCGCAGCGACGCAGTGCCAGACCCGGTGAAAAGGTGGGCGGGGCCATGGCATCACGTGCTCATGAGCCCGCCCTCCCGTTAGGTGGCTCTCAGCGGCAACAGTCGCTATTTTTGATCAGAGCCCCAAGGACTCAGAAGGGGAACTGCTCGAGAAAGGGGCAAGAACGATGGGAAACGTGTGTCAGAAGAGAGGGGGAGCACTGTGAGGGGGTTCTTGGCAACGTGTCTGGTACGGTAATAATTTAAAAACGGGAACATGCACCATACATTTTGGGCACTCCTTGCAGGTCTGCCCCATGCGTGCATGCCACACGTGTGTACCTGTGCCTGGGAGATGGAGGCGGGTGGCCTCTGGAGGACACGCAGCCCAGGGCCCCGGGGGCCCCAGGTGGCTTTGATTGCTCGCATCCTGTCCCCCCCTAGCTTCAGTCTGGCAGAAGGCTGCTTCCCATTTTCTTCTGTCACAAAGATGGAGCTCGGCCTTTGAAACCAGAGCCTTGGAAAGTGCTTTATGTTTTCCTGGGGGCTTAGGAGCATTGGTGTGTCTGGGACGAGTGGAATGTGATCCTTTTGCTAGCAGCGTGGCCACTCAGGGAGCACAGAAGCCCCGGTCCCGGCTCTTCTCAGCAGCCCCTGTCTGCCTGGTGTCTGCTCTACTGTCCTTGAGGCTCTGGGTGTCACATGCTGTGCAGAGGTCCCTGAACTGGGTTTCGGGAGGGAGCTAGACCCATTTCACACTTGGGGACAGGACAGCATGGCCTTCCTGCAGCACTCGGAGGGAGCAAATGCGACTGCATGGAAATCAGGACACAGCTACCTTCATCCCACAGCCCTGGTTTGCAATGTGCTTGTGATAACAAATGTTAATATTCTCGCGCAGGGCGATTGACTCTGCAGTGCTGGAGGCTTGCAGATGTGCTCCCATCTACCACTGACTTTCTTTGGTTGCTGCTTCTCCCGACTCCCTGACTGGAAAACTTGGGCATGACGTTCTCTGCCGTTTCTCAGTGAGCGGTGGGGGAGAGAAGTGGGGACCAGGGCTGCTGAGTCTGGATTGGGGCAGAATTCTGCAGCCCCAGTATGAGGTAGTTTTCCTCCCTTCCTTCCTTTTTTCCTCCCTCTGTCCGTCTCCCCTGCCCCAGAGTACTGGGGATTGAACCTGTGGCTTCCTGCTTGGCATGGACTCATGCTAGGCAAGTGCTCTACCACTCAGCTATACCCCAGCTCTTTTTATTTTATTTTTTGAGACAAAGTCTTGACAAGTTGCCCAGGCTGCCCTGGAACCTGTGACCCTCTTACCTCCACTCCCATGTAGTTGGGATCATACCTGTGTTGTACCACACTCAGCGGTGAGAGTCTCTTTATCTGTAAAATAGGTATAATCATAGGTTTCACGGAGCATTGTTGTATGGTTCTTACAGCAATTAAACGTGTTATCATTTGAGGAGGCTGAGATTGGTGCTGCCTACGTGTAATTAATTAGGTGCGAGACCCTAGTCGGCTGTTCTTTTATTTTTATCCTTTTTTCTTTTTCAGTACTGGGGATTGAAGCCAGGGCCTTCAAACTGACCTACTTCTCCAGACATCTTTTTAATTTTGCCGTTCTTCTGCCTCAGCCTCCCAGAGTGCTGGGATTCCAAGGTGTGCTGCCACGCCTGCCTTAGTAACTATTTCTTTATTGGCTTGTTTATTCTTCATCCCAGTCCAAAAATATCCAAGACAGTTGATGCGCATCGAAATTAACACAAGAGAAAGTCAATCAGCATAATGGGAAAATCACAGTAGAAAAGGAAGGTGAGGACTAAAAGTGATACAGGGAAACCACCCAGATAGAACAGAGGGCTGACTTACGATGTTTTGATTGAGGAAGGCACCCAAATGTGAGGTGAACTTCAGGTTTAGAATCCGTACCTTTTCCCAGGCTGGTGACATGTGTCCCACCAACACCAGCAATGCTGGGTGGTCACTGTCAGCCGCCTTGTCACAAGCAGAAGCCCCGGAGACCGCAGTGTGCCAAGTAGGATGGCCGGGAGTGTGGGCGTAGTCGTGCATTTGGACGTGGGGTGTTCTCAGCTCACACCAGTTCCGTAGTGAGTTCCCCGGGTCACTTATCTGAAGCAGAGGTGGAGCCTGACCCCTCCCCTTGTGGCCTTCCCATGATTCCCTGTGGTGGACCAGTCCCACGTGACCTGGCTGGGAGGGGGGTCCCCTAACAATTCTAGCCTGGTGACACCCTGAGATTTTAGCCAAAACCCAATGCGTGTTCTCTGCTGGTTCCGTACACCACGATTTGGTTTGTGCCCAAGTGCTTCTCTTTAATGCTGAACTCACTTGGGCTGGTCCTAGGAGACTCAAGCATCTCCTCCTTGCCACCCGCAGGAACGGAGTTATCATTTGAGGATGCCCGAGCCTTGGGTTTTCAGTGAATCGGTACCCTCGTCATCGTCGTCAGCATCAGCATCTCCGTCAGCACAGTCTGCTCTCTGTCCTCTTTCTGTCCCTTCTCGGCTTCCTTTTCCTCTTCTCCTCCTCCCGCTCCTGCTGCTCCTCCTCCTCCCTCACTGACATCGTCATCTCCATGAGCGCAGTCTTCTCCTCGCCCTCATCCTTTTCCCTCCCCTTCTGCTCCTCCTCCGTCATCCACATTGTCACCTCCATCACCACGATGTCCTTCCGCCCCCTGCTGCCCCCCACTCCTCCTTAACACTAGGAAGGAAAAGGAAAGAAGGGCGGGGTCAGGTTGGGTGGGAGGTCCGAGGTCGGCGAGGTCCTCCCAGCGGATGGCGAAGCCTCGGCGGGGTTGGTTTGGACTCCTGGGTCTGTTTGAGGAACAGCGAGCGAACAGGCCCACGGGAGTCTGGGGCACTCGGGGAACGCTTTATTTACTGATGGAGGAGCAGAGAGAACAAATAACTGACCCCCACACTCCGGGGAGGGCCAGGCCCAGAATCCCGCCCCGGAAAGGTGGAAGGAGGAAGTGTAGGGTGGGTGGAAACGAGAGGGGTGGGGAGGCTAGACCAAGAGGGGAGCAGGAAAGGGCTCGGGAGAGGAAGAGGAGGTGGACGGGGTGAGCGGTGGGGAGATGGAGGAGAGGAGAGGCTGGGGCATGAATGGGAGGTGGCCATGGCCAGGGCCTCAGCAAATGGAGTTGGATCCTTGGGTGGGGACGTGTGAGTGAGGTGTGAGTGGACCCTGGGATGAAGACATCCGGTCCATCTTGCGCCACTGGTCGCCTGGAGTGTGTGGGCCTTTCCTGGACTGCTGCGGAAAATCTGCCCGTCTCAGAGAGACAAGAAACAGCAGGCTGTGGGGGTCCAGCTCTTCCCGAACCCCTTTCTTTCTAATTTGCACATTTGGGGGCAGCCTGGAGGCTGTGGGAAGCTGAGAAGTAGGTGGGCCTGGGTTGGCTGGGGACTCGAAACTGAGATCACTCACTGATCGTGGACGGGCGCACTCTCCCCTGTGTGGTCTGCCTCATTGTTTCGCAGGAGGGTTAGTAACGGGCGTAGGTGTCGGCGCCATTCTAACTTAGGGCTTCAAAGCTCATCTGTTTTCTGCCCGTCACACGGTGAAGCACAAACCCAGCAGAAATCAAGTAACGCAAGGAGGCTGGAAGTCCGAGGTCCAGGAGTGGACAAGTCAGCTCCTTCCGCGGCCTCTGTCCTGGGCTTGTCGGTGGCCGTCATCTCTCTGTGCCATCCGTGGTCTTCCCTGTGAGCCTGCGTCCTGATCGCTCACAGAGACAGCATTCAGATTGGATGGGAATCCAGTGCGATAACCTTATTTTATCTTAAGTATCTCTTTCTAGGCCCTGGCCCCAAATAGAGTCGCTTTCTGGGGTACTGGAGGTGAGGACCTGGACATGTGGATTTTGTCAGGGACACGATTCAGCCCGTTACACACGGAGTCTCTCAGTGAGGATGAGGGAGCTGTATCTGCCAGTGGAGGCACCGTGGGAGGATGTCAGGCTGGGTCGTGCTGGCTGGGAGGGGCAGAGAGAAGACGTCTCTTTTAGAAAAGCCAACCTGCTCCTGTGGCCATCACTTGTCAACTACAAGAGAGGCTGGATTTTAGCGTCTCTGCTGAAGTGGTACTTGATGAGAATTTCTGGTTAGTCCTGTCACACCCAATGGTGTGTGAACTAGACCATGACTTTGAGAAGAAACTGTGGTCCCCAAACAGGGCTTTCAGACAGGAGAAGGCAGCTGTTTCTGTTACGGGAAGCCTTGGTCTGCCATCCCACCGGAAGTCTGTCTGGGAGGTAAGGCTATGCTTGGGTGGGTTACGGAGGAGGGGCCTCCCTGGGTTGAACATCCTGCTCTTGGGCCACGGTGTCTCTGAGCTTTTGAGTGAGTCCCCTGAAGGGAGTCCCAGGAGCTCTGGGTCTGAGCAGTTCCTCCTGCAGGCAGGGATCCAACTTGGTCTGAGGTCAGCAGCTTCGAGCCACAGCCTCCTGCAGGAAGATGGCATCTGAAGCGGGCTTGTGCTGAGAGCAGTAATGGGATGCAGGGTGTTCACGCTTCTCCTGGTCATGGAGTGATAGGCACACAAGGGGGAGACAGGTTTCTCTTGAATTCACAGGGTGCCAGGCAGTCTTGGTTCCTTGACTCCTCAGGTCTTCTGCCGGCTGGCTAGTCCCAGCCATGTCCCAATAGAGACCCAGTGCCCAGAAGGGCCTTGTCCTCCTGCGGCCCAGCACCGGCACCCCTGTGCTGTTCCAGTCCCCATCTGCCAACTTGCCCAGGCTCTGAGTCCAGGCTGTCAACTAACTGGGCCCCGAGGACAGACGCCTCGCACAACTCCTGAGGACATGGTTCAGCTCCTTGACACTCATAGGAGGTGTGGATTTCTGCTTCGTTGAGTCCTGGCAGGGTTGGAGCCAAGAGGGAGGCCCTCCTGACCCAGCACACAGCCTCTCCAGCCTCGGGTGGTAAAATGAAGACTGAGCCGCCAGAGGGGCCTCTCAAGGAAGTCAGGGGCTGGGGTGAGCTGAGCAGCCAGGTTTCTCATCCCTCAGACCCTGCCGTCCCACCTTCCACGAGGACAGGTGTCGCAGGGTCACACAGTTGCCTTCTGTTCTAGGTCACTGCATGAAGTCCTTCCCTTCTAAGCTTGAGGCAGAACTGTAAGCAAAGAAGGTAAACTGTTTGTGTGTGTGTGCGTGTGTGCGTGTGTCTATGTGTGTGTATGCAAGTGTGTGTTTTCCCCAAATAATAAAAGGTTGGGAGCCTCCCTCTGGTATGGGCAGAGAGCTGACAGATGCCTTGAAGTGACTTTGCAGTTGCTAAGATGCTGTGTCACCCACAGGGGCCCCTTCTCCTGGGAATGTGCAGAGGCCAGCCCAGGGCCACCCTCGGGGAATGTGCACATGTCCCTGTGAGAGGTCACACACAGCTCCGGGCAGGGGCTCTGGTCGCAGCTGTCTTCCCCCTCTGTCATAGGCATGACATGTTGGCTGTCTTCCCGGGTCACAGCTTTGCAAGCTGCTGCTGCAGAGAAAAGAGGATTCTGCCTCAGTAGGCAGAAAGTAGCGCTCTGACCCAGGCGAAGAGAAGTTTTCACTGTCCATTACCCAGCCGTGTCTCTGGGCAAATCACTGCTCCTCTTTGGTCCTCAGTTGTCACACCAGTCCCAGGACTAGGTGAGTAGCTCAGTAGCTAAGGTGTATTCGATGCATTTGGATCTCCGGTGTTTTCCGCTTATCGATAGGTTTATCAGGGGGTAACTCCATCATAAGTTGAGAAGTATTTGAATAGTAGCAGTTATCTGTGTACATATCACCACAATCTGTGTTGAGACATTTCCACTGTCCTCCCCCAAAGGAACCTTGAGCTGGCGCCTTTTAATTCCTTCTCTTCCTCCATTCCTTCAGCCCAAGACAACCACTAATCTACTTCCTGTTCTATAGATTTGCTTATATTAGACATTTCATATAAGCGAGACCGTATGTTATGTGGCCTTTTGTGTCCGGTTTCTTTTTCTGAGCATAGTGTCTTAAAGATTCATTCCTGTCATATGTATCGGGATCCCATTTTTATGGCTGAGTAATATTCCTTTGCATAGATATACCACCTGCGTTTGCCCCGATTCACTGCAGATGCACGGATGGACTTTTGGGTTGTTTCCATCCTTTGTGGCTGTGATTGTGCCATGCATGTTGAAGGTGACCCTGGGGTGCCCTGCCGGCACATTTAGGTTCACCCATTCCCAGCCCATCCCTACGTGTCGCTGCATTTATAAACTATCGCTCTATAAGCCTTGGCTAACAGAGGCTGTGTGGAAGGGCTGTGCTTATTCCATCTTCTGTATAAAAATACCCAAGGCCAGATACTTTATAAAAAATATAAAGTGAGGTAGCTGATGGCTCAGGAGCCCTCCCTCGCCCCTCCCTCGCTCCTCCTTCCCTCACTCATCCTCCTCTCCCCCTGCTTCCTCCTCTCTGGCATTTGTCACATGCCTGTCCTACTAGAGTTTAGGGGCGCAGCACAAATGAAACCCGGTACCCACTCACAGGCGCTTACTGTTTGGTGGACTGGACGAGCTCACCGTGGATAGCTGTGAACTGTGTGGGGTTGGAGAAATCACGACCTGGGCAGGAGGGAGATCTGTGGGTCCCTTTAGGAGAGGATTCCTCAGCTGAATTTTTCTTTTTTTTTTTGCACTAAGAAGTAAAACCATGAACCCAGGGCCTTTGCACTGAGCTAGGTACCAAGTGCTAGCTATTTATTTGTTTATTTATTTATATTTTGAGACAGGGTCCTTGCAGTCTTCCTGCCTCAGCCTCTCAGTGTGCCGGCAGGCGTGGACCACAGTTCCCAGCTCTGGGCTGAATCTTTTTTTTTGTATGGGGGAATCGAACTCCGGACCATGTGCTTGTAAGGCAGGCAGTGGCACCACTGAGCTACCTCCCCCACCCTGAGTTGACTATTAAACTGAGGCTCAAGGGCAGCCAGGTGAAGAGGATAGGAAGGACGTGCTGGGCAGAGCAGGGATGACCGGTCTGCACGGTGTGGCAGGAACCGGCTGGGGCCAGAAGGGGGCGGACCCTGGTGGGGCCCATAGGGAGCTCCGCGATTCAGGGCCCTTCCGCAGCTCTGTTCCGCCCGGCACTCTCTCGCTGGGGTCGGTGTTGGGGCTGCTGCAGGATCCTGCAGCGCTGTGAGTGACGCAAGAGCAGCCGGTGCCTGCAGTTCTGGAGGCGAAGGCTGCATCGGGGCGGCAGGACTGCTTTCGCCCGAGGCTCTGCAGTCCCGATGGGCGTCTGTGGGTCCTTCTGTGTCCATGCTCTGCTGTCCTCCGGATCCAAATGTCCTCCTCTTACACAGATACAGCAGATTGGACTAGAAACGTCCTCAGGGCCTCATCGTAGCATCACTAACTCCAGATGCAGTCACATCCTGAGGTCCTGGGGGCTTAGGGCTTCAACGTACAATTTTTTTTTTTCTAGTGTTGGGGATCAGCCCAGGACCTCACACGCCCTAGGCAAGTGCTCTGCTGCCTCACCCCACCCACAGCCTTTTATTCAGCTGTATATTGAGATGCGATCTTGCTAAACCGCCCAGGCTGGCCTAGATTTTATAATCCTCTTTCCTCAGCCTCCTGAGTGGCTTGGATTACAGGCATGTAGCACCTGGGACACCAGTTTATGTCTCTGTTTTGTGTGTTTGTTTGCTGTGTGGGAATCTAGGGATTGAACTGAGAACCTCACACGTACTAGGCAAACACTACCTCTCAGCAGCCAACCCCTAACATATGAATTTTGAGAAGATAAAATTCAGCCCCGCTGGATGTGGTGGTACATACCTGTAATCCCAGCACTTGGGGAGGCTGAGGCAGGAGGATGGCAAATTTGAGCCCAGTCAGGGAAATCTAGAGACTTAGCAAGACCTTCTGTCAAAGTAAAAAAAAATATATAAAAAAGGCTGAGGATGTAGCTCAGTGCTAAGGCCTTGGGTTCAATCCTCAGTACTGAAAAAAAATAATTCCGTTTAGGACTGTGGGGCTCTGTGCGTGGTGGATGAACGAACGAATGAATGAAGAGGCTCACAGAGAGTAAGACGTGCACTTTTGTGTCTGGAGGGTGCCAGCAAAGGGTCAGGGCATCTCCAAGAGGCAGGGAGGTGGCCGGCCCCGTCCTCCCCGAGAGCCCCTCCTCCTTGGGGCGTGTCCCACCGGCTCCTCCATGGGACGTGACACCTGGCTGGGAAGGCGCGAGGCGGCAGCTGACGCTGTCCGTGGGGCAGTCGCCTCTCCGCTGAGCTCCCGGGGGCACCTGCCGTCCTGGTGACACGTGAGTCCCGGCTGCGACAGTGATCCGTCTCCTGTCGAGAAGGAAGACAGGTGCGCGGATCACAGCCACGTCTTCCCTTGTATGAGAAGTGACAGGGTTACGGCATTTTATGCCGGACTAATTTTAGATTCATCTTTAACAGCCAGGAAGGGGGAAAGCAAAATTCTGTCAGAAGCTTATCGGGGAGCCACAAAGTCATTAACAGGTTGGATTAGAGAAAGAACATGTTTCTTGCTCTAGTCTCTTTCTTTTCCTTTTCTTTTCTCCTTCCTTTCTAATTAAAAAAATTGTTTTTTGCTGTATTGGAGATAGAACCCAGCGCCTTTGCACTGAGCTGTATCCCCAGTCCCTCTGTTTTTCGAATTTTTAAATTTTGAGGCAGGGCCTCATTAAGTTGCTAAATTGCCCAGGCTGGACTTGAATTTGCAATTCTCCTGCCTAAACTTCCAAGAGTGCTGGGATTACGGGCATCTGCCCCCATGTTTGGCTCACAACTTCTTCTTTTTTCTTTTGAGACAGGGTCTCGCTGTGTAGTTCAGACTGGCCTCAAACTCACTAGTTAGCCCTTGCTGGCCTCAAGTTTGAAGCAGTCCTCCTGCCTCAGCCTCCTGAGTGCTAGGATTACAGGCATGTGCCATCTGGTTCTTATAGCTTCTTATGTTGATGAATGTACCTTCTTTGTCTAAGACCTCCGCTCCCTCCTCTTGGCTTTCATGTATCCGCACCAAGATTCCTAGAATTAATGTAGAGACTTTTTAAAGCAGGATAAGTGAGGGGCGGTGAATGGGACCTTGCTCCTGTCTCTTAAGCCAGGGAGGCAGGATGATGGCCTTAAGGCAGGCCAAACCCTGTGCTCTGGGGCCCAGGGGCAGCCAGATCCCTAGTGCTTCCCCAGCTGCCGGCTCTGCTCTCTGCTAATCCATTTGCCCGGTGCAGGCCGAGTGCAGAGATCTGCAGCCACGTGGGGGTCAGCATCCAGATGCTCCGCTGATGACTTTGATCCGAGAACAAATCTGTTACAAGCCAGCTAAACCTCCAGCGACGACGGCGGGGTGATTTAGTGCTTGGAGAGCTGTTACACTCGCAGTGCAGCGCTGGGGCACTGAGGCTCCTGTCCGCCCCAGGCAGAGTGCGCCGGGGTGGCTGGGTTAATTAAGAGTTCACCACGGGCCAGGCCACACCCGAAGTGGGAGGGGTGAGCGTGTTAAAAGCCCCTCCTTTCAGTTTCCTCGCCATATGCCCAGCCTGGGGTCCTTTACCAGGACATGAGCCACGGTGGCAGCTGGCTGCATCTTGCTTGGTGATCAGGTGAGGCTCTGGATGTAGACACAGCCACTCATAGCCACAACACCCACGAAGGCCTGTGTCGACTCAAAACAACATTCCTCTGTGCATACCTAGTGTGTACCTGCCAGCTGGGGTGCAGGGTAAGCAACGCCTGGGCTCTGGATGCACATCTTCACCTCTGGGGGGACGCTCAGGATGTCCCCTTGGGGTGCCTGACCCGGTTGAGTCGTGGGCCTGCATCCTTGCACATGGTAGTATTGTCACATGTGAGTCCCACAGCAGCCTCTGCGTTCATCTTCTCGGGATGGATGTTGGCTGGTGCATAAAGTTGGCCCTTTATTTTGTGGACGCGTGCCATTCTTTCTGTTGGGTGTTATAGTTATCACCTTTTTGTGGCTGGTACAAAATGCATGACATAGACAACTTTAAGAAGAAAAGCTTTAAATTTTGCTCGTGGTTTCAGCTGTTGCAGTCCATGGTTGGCTGGGTCCAAGGTAGAAACATCATGGTGGAAGGGCACGAAAGAGGAAAGGTGCTCAACCTATGGCAGCCAGGAAGTGGAGAGAACAGGAAAGAGCCAGATTATGGTCCCAGTGACCAAGTTTCTCCATCCAGGCTCTGTCTCCTAACAGCACACTGGGTTATGAACTCATCAGTGGGCCGACTCACTGATTATGAGGTAGCCCCCACGGTCCTGTCGCCTTGCATAAAACACATCAGCCTTTTGGGGGCACATTTTTGATTCAAACCTTAATGGGTCTGTACCTTGCAGTAGAATCACTGGGTCCTTTCGCAGATACTGCTGGAGAGCTTTGCAAAGCTGAACCCTCTTTTTCCAGTGCAGGCTGCGGAAGTGGCATTTGGTGGTACTGGGTGTGTGTGAGGAGAGGGGGCTTGCTGGAGCTCTGGGATCATTGCAGGTTCTGTTCCTCTCACTTTACACATCAGGGACAGAGCTGAAGGTGGTGAAGGGACCTACGTCGTGTCTGATATGAGGTGAACGAAGAGTGGGAATCAGAGCTGAGGTGATTTTCATGTTAAGACCTGCGGGCTGCGGACCTCTCCCATGCCCCTGACCCCACTTGTAAATGGATGTCTCTGATCACTGTTTGAGAAATATGCAGGATGGGAGCATAGACCTGGAGCCCATCACTTCCAGCCTTAGAAGCCAAGGAGTCAGAGGGACGCTCAGCCCCCCAGCAGCACACAGCGCCCCCCCGAAGCAGCTGCTGACACTACTACCTCCTTCACAGCTCGTGTCCCTCCCAGACACTAGTCCCTACCTGTCTCTGATCCTCCTGGATTGCGACGTGTATGATAGTCACTGTTATGGCCTCTCACTTTTTATTTTTTTGTATGTACTGGGGATTGAACTCAGGACTTTGTGCTTGCGAGGCAGGCAGTAGAACCACTGAGATGAATCCCTGGCCCTATGTATGGCCTCTCACTTTTAAGCCTGATGTTCAGTTTGACTTTCCAAATTATAACCTGAGCACCTCTTGCTGAGTGTCATAACAGAAGCCACTGGTGCCACTATGGGCTGAACAGAAAGGCTGAAAGGGAGAATATGATTTTTAGCAACCAGATTGTTGACCCAGGGCAAACTTAAGGGCTGACAGAACGTGCAGACCCAGGTTCCCAGCTGCGGAAGTGGGCATTTCACAAATGCTCTTTCCACACTCTAAAGTCTCTGTTCTCCATTTCACAGGCTGAGGTCTGGAATGTGACTGGATTTGGTGATGGGCCCTTAAAGAGACGGCTAAATTAAAATGAGGTCAGCAGGGTGAGCGCTACTCTAACACCCCCAGGGGTTCTAATGAGAACAGGTGATGAGGACACAGACACACAGAGTGGAGACCACGTGAAGATGTCTGTTGACAAGCCCAGGTCAGCCCTGGAGCCCCCCACCTCGCCAACTCCTTGCACACGGCCACGGCAGCATCTCACCACGGGGACGTTTCCATGGGCCAGCGGGACTTCTCCCGGCCAGCGTTCTCTCTGGCCCAGAGGTTTTCCCTGAGCAGGCCCAAGGCTGGAAGTGTGGGTGCAACCCTGCAGCAGCCCTCACCCAAGGTGGTGGGGGTTGGAGGTACACACCCAGCTTCTTCACCCTCAGCTGGGCACCTCTGAATGCGCCTCCCAGGGGCCCTGCAGGAGGTCATCGCCTGCTGTCTGACTCCTCCTTCCCACCCCCTCGCTTCCCATCTGGATTATGCCTTAGTCTGTTCCTTCTGCTGTGACAAAAGCCCCTTCCACTGGGAGTCCAAGGGCAAGGTGCTGGCAGATCCAGCGTCTGAGGAGAGCCTCACTTCCTCGATGGCTCCTTCCTGCTGTATAAGTGGTGGGAGGGGCCAGCTAGGTTCCTTCAGCCTCTTTCTCAAGGTCACTAGTCCTATGATGAGGGAGGATCTCTCATAACCTAATTGTCCCCAATCACCTGTCAATTCCACCACACTGGGGACTTGGGGGGGCACCAATATTCAGACCATAGCAGGTCTCCTCCCAAATAAACGACTTGTTCTCCAACCTTTGTCTCAGGCTCTGCTTCTGGGGATCCACATGAAGACAATTACAGTCCAGTTTCCTTCCAACTCTAAGCTCCCAGGATAAACCCCCTTCCAGCAGGGCTCAGGCCCTAGGGTTTGCTGCCTCCTTGCGACCCTGCACTACCAGTCACGCCAACCCTTAGTAGCCAGTGCCATGGATTCTTTGCAGGTATCACGAACCCCACCCAGGGTGCTGGCACTAAGCCCTCCTCCAGCCCCTGACTGTATTCCCATGTAGGACAGGGGGAGTGGAAATGGGAGCAAGTATTAGTCAGGTCTCAGGGAAACTGTCAGTTTTGCATAATCTTTTGTTTTTGATAAATCTGTGCACTAGAATAACACCAAGTCATCATTGTTGTATCTCTTTTGTGTTGCTGTAACAGGATACCACAGCCCGGGTAATTTCCCCCCAGAAATGGGGCTTGAATCTTGGACCTTCATACTGAGCTACATCCCCAGCCCTTAAAAAAAAATGAAAAAACAATTCTGACATAAGGTCTTGTTATTGTTAGGCTTGAACTTGAAATCCCTTTGCCTCAGCCCCCCAGAGTGCTGAGATGATAGGTCTGCCCAACCACTCCTGGCCAGGTAGGGTAATTTCATGGGACACAAATTTATTGGCTCACAGTTCTGGAGGCTGGGAAGCCCGAGATCAAGGTGCTACATCTGGTGAGGATGCTCTTTCACTTTATTTTTTGAAATTTATTTTGAGATGGGGGGGGGTCTCACTAAATTGCCCCAGCTGGACTTGAACTCGTGATCTTCCTGCCTCAGCTCCCAGAGTGCTGTGATTACACGAGTGAGCTTGAGTCCCATGTTATAATATCCTAACAGTGGCAGCTAAAGCTTAGGGTGCATTTCAAAGGCACAGACGTCTGAACCAGAGCAACAACCCTCACCGGAAATGCTGGCAGAATGGCCCACTTCATGTGGGGTTTTCCTTGTAGTGTGTTTTCTTTCTTTTCTCCTTGCTCCCGCTCCTTCTGGTCCTTTCTGCACACTCCCCCACATGTTGCCTCTCCGGTTTATTTTCCTGCTGGGCCCCTCCGGAGTCTCACACACAGGGGTGTCTGCTGGTGGATGGAGACCTTTTCCCTGCCTCTCCGCTGCAGTGGGAAAGGCTGGCAGTGGCTTTCTTCCAAGGACTTTTATTCTTAGTACCGTAAACCTCTTCACCACGAGGAAGGAGAGGCTATCAAAAGCCCGTTTATCTGCAGAGCCGAAAGCCTTGCAGCTATCTTTATTTATAGGATCCTGAGAACGTCTGTGATCGTGGGTAAGAAATAAAACCACAGCCGTTCTGCTCCTGCTGGAGTGGCCAGAATTTGTGCCCCGTAGCTCGGCTTGAGGCCGGGGAAGAGGCAGCCAGAATGAGTTCAAATGCAGGCTCTGCCGCCTTTGGCTCAGGTGATCTGGGGTAGAGGACCTTTCTGACCGCACTTTCCTCACCTCTAAAACTAGGAAGACAATGTCCGTGTGAAGGGGACGCCGGGACGTAAGAGTGACGATGTATTTGAAGCACACAGCTCAGTCCTCAGGAGTGGGGACAGTTGTCCCCAGCTTTCTGTGCGACCTGGTTTAGGACTCTTGGAGTTCTTCATTGCAAAATGCTTACAATCAGCTCTATTGAAGTACAGCGTAGATACAATCAAACGCACCTATTCTAGATTCACAGTTTGATGACCTTTGACAAATATCTACACTCATGTAATTATTACCGCAATAAAAATATCGAACGTTTTTATTACGCAGTCAAAGTTCCCTCCGGCCTCTTTGCAGACTGTATTAGTTTGTGGATAGCTGCTGTAACAAAGTACCATAAATGGAGGGGCTGAAAAGCAGGAGTTGATTGTCTTGGTTTTGGAGGCTACAAATCTGTGATCCAGGCATTGGCAGAGTTGGTTTTCTTGGAGGGCTCCAGGGAGGGGTCTGTCCAGGCTTCTGTCCTTGGCTGACGGATGACTATCTTCTCACGTCTTCATCGTCTTCCCTCCATGTGTGTGTCTATGTCCAGATTTCCCATTTTTATGAGGATGCTGATCATATTGGATTAGGATCTACCCTACGGCCTCTGTTTAACTTGATGATTTATAGAAACTCTCTCTCCAAATAAGGTCCTGTTCTGAGGTTTTGAGGTTAGGATTTTAACATCTAAATTTTTAGCAGATAGTTCGATTTATAATATAATCCATCCCCCACACTTGCCATCACCTCGGATTGGTTTTCCTGTTCTGGAGTTACATATAAATGGGGTCACACAGTCTGTGCTTCTCAGAGTCTGGCATCTTGCTCCGGGTGCTGTTTCTGAGCTCCATCCACACTATTAAAAGTATTGCTAGGTCATCCCTGCTACTGTAGGGTCACAGCCCATCGACTGAGTTTCCCACACTCTGCTTGACAACTCACCTATCTGTGGATATGTGGGTCGTTTCCTGGACATAGCGACTGTGGTCCAAAGTATAAGACATAAGGGGCTGGGGATGTAGCCCTTGGGATCGTGTCTGGTTGCATCTTCTGTGAGAGACTGGGTGGAGAGTGCAGCCTTTTATTGCCAGAGACCTCCCTTCTCAACCAGAGAGGAGCCTGGCTGCAGCGAGGGGCTTGAGTCCCCACCCGCTTCCTACTCAGCTCTCTGCACAGGTTTTATGAAAACGTGCCCACCTGTGAGCCTTCCGCGGCTCCCTCAGTCGAGAAGTTGGGCTTTATTTACAGGGCTGCTGCCAGCACCTGACACGGGGCTCACTGCCAGGGTCGTGTGAGACTTCCAGAAAGAAAGGCAGCTCTGAGGAGAGAGAGAGGGGACGGACAAGGTGAATTGGACAGAGGGGCCTGGGTGCCGTCCTCAGAGCCAACCTGGGGCCCTGCATTAGCCTTTCCAGCGGAACAGTGAGGAGATGATGGTATACTTGCTCGGGCTGGGTTAGAGTCAATCCTCCTGCCTCAGCCTCCCAGAGCGCTGGGATTATAGGTGTGCCCTATCACACCAGGCACTGAGGGGCTTTCTGTAAGGGACATTTTAGCTCTTGCAACCAGGCACCCTCTCCTCTCTCTGTCTCTCTGCTTCCTTCTTCCTCTCTCCTCCTCTTATCTCTCCCCCTGCAACTGGTATCAGGAAAGTTCTAGCTCTCTTCTTCTTTTACAAAATTTTTTTGTTGGTCCATGTTTGCAGTATATCCCTCCACCTCTCAGTCCTTTCGGGAAGGATCTGTCTCCCTGCTTCCAATTGTCTCTCTTTCATTTTGATCTCTATTTAAAATTTGGGACTCTCATATCACATGCAATATTTAAGCTTGTGGGTCTGATTTGTTTCACTTCATATGATGGTCGGTCTCAAGGTGCATCCGTTTTCCTCCAAACGACTCAAGCTTATCTTTATGACAGAGTAGTATTCCACGGTGTGTAAATACCACACTTTCTTTTTTTTCTTCTGAGTTTAGAAAAAAATTTAAATACATTTTATTTAATACCACACTTTACCCATTCATCTGTTGCTGGACATATAGGCTGCTTCTGAGATTGAGCTGTTGTGAATTGTGCCGCTGTAAAGATGTCTTTAAGTCTTTCAGGAAGATACCTAGAAGAGAAATATCTGGGTCGAATGGAATTTCAAATTTTACTGTTTTGAGGAATAGCCACACTGATTCCTCTAGTGGTTGTACTAGTTTATATTCCAGCAGTGGAGAAGTGCTCCTTTTTCCTCCAAGCCTCATCAGTGCTCGTACTATTTTGATTTCTTGATGATGGCCATTCTTTCTGGGGCAAGATGGAATTGCCACGTTGCGGCCATTTGCATTTCTCTAATGGCCAACGATGTCGAACATTTCTTCACGTATTTGTCGGCCCATTTGTACTTCTGTGAAGTGTCTGCTCATTTCACTTGCCAGTTTTTGACTGGGCCACTTATTTTGGGAGGTCTACATTTTTGAGTTCTGTACATACTGTAAATATTAGTCCTTTGAGGAAGTAGCTGGCAAAAACTTTTTTCCCATTCTGCTGGTTGTCTCTTTACTCTGTCGGTTGTTTCTTGGGCCATACAGAAGTTTTTAAATTTGAAGCGATCCCTTTCGTTGATTCTTGGTGTGGCAGACCAATGGTCAGCGTGCGTGCAAAGGCCCAGCTGAACTGAGTCAGTGGGGTTCTGGGCGTGGAAGACCCACCTGAGAACTGTTGCCAGAATGGCATAAAGGGGGAAAGGGAGGGGAAGATTGCATGCAGCTGATTTTCCTGGAGAAGCTTGCTGTGGCTCGTTTTCCTGCTACAAACTCACCTGTCCCAGCGGTTGAATTCAGTTGTTCTGGTCATTGAATTCAGCTGTTCTCATAGCCGGACGGGCTCAGATCCTCTCCGTCGCTGGGCATGGCTGCTGTTCTCTTTGTGGGAGCTCTGGTCTTCGCCTTGGTCTTTGAGTGTCGCTTCCTGGCTCCAGTGCAGATCCCTCAGCCTCCTGGCACATCCTTCACTCCACCAGTGCAGACTTTCTGGCTTCCGCCACTGGCCTTTGGGCCTTCCTGGTGCAGATCCTCGTCATGGATTTGGAGGAGACGTTGCCGAGGGCTCCGGGCCCTCGGCTGGATTCTTTGGGTCTCTAGCAGGCAGGTAGACACGCACTCTTCTCCATCTGATTCTAGTAAGCGCTGATGAATCCACTCGGCACTCATTCCTTCAGAACCAGGGTTCTGTTTACAAAGTCCTTGCCTATTATATCTGCGTGAGATGACATTTGCCATGTGGCTTGCTTTGGCCAGTGCAGGAGGGGTGGGAGCTTTGCGTGCTGCTTTCAGGCAGTAGCTTTGAGAGCCCTGCTCAGGTTGCTGACTTTTTTTAGCCCGCAGTGACCAGCGATGCTTGACTTGGTGGCTGTGCCACACCCTGGAATGGGCATGACACAGGCAGGGCCCCCAGCTGAGCAACGCTGGACATGGAGCAACAAACAACAAATGCTTGTTTCTTTCCACCACAAT